ACCTCTCCAAAAAAAAAAAAAAAAGAGCCTGACATGTACAAAAGACTACATTAATATAAGTTATAAAACAATAAAATGAATGCCCTCCTAAATTTAATAACATTTTACCTATACTTGGGATTAGTGAATAGCATAATGGTTATGTCACTGGACTCTCATGTAGTTGACTTCACTTTGAATCCTGGACCCTAAAACTCATGCCAGGCAGATGTGCATGCATGCCCAAGATCCTGAAAGGAGAATGGAGGAGAAGGGACTGCAGCGTGGCCGTCTCCCCTGGGGAGTGATTTCTCTCTGTCTTCTCTGTCTATGGGATGCACATGCCCTATAATAAAAATCTTTAAAAAAAAAAAATTACCTGTATTATTGAAGCTTCTGTGTGTTCCTCCCAGATTCCAATTTCTTCCTGCTTTCCTCACAAAGGTAATCACTATACTGGTCTTTTTTTCCTTTTTTTTTTTTTTTGCTATAGGACGTGTGCACTCACCAGAAAGACAGAGACAGAGAGAAAGTGAGAAATCACCCCCCAGGCCACACCACAATCCCTTCTCCATTCTTCTCTCGGGATCTTGGGCACACGCGCCCAGTGTGAGTTTAAGCCACTGGGTCCAGGACTCGAACCACCGTTGACTACATGGGAATCCAGCGACATAGCCATTATGCTAACTGCTGGTCCCTACTATACTGATTTTTTGAAGTGTATTTATTGGGCTGGCAGTGGCATGGTGGTGGACTCCCACATGGCCGACTGTGGTTCCTGACTGTGGTCTGTGTCCTAGACCTGGTTGCTTGCTTTCTCACTTTCCCTTTCTCTCTCTCTGGTCAAATTTTAAAATAATAATACATTAAAATAAAAATTTTTTTTAAATAAAGCGTATTTCTTTATTTCTTCCATGAGTGAAAAAGGGACACCCTCAATGGTACCTCATAGCATGATCAACCCCAGGTCTTTTTAAAAAATAATTATTTTATTTAACTTAATTAATATAAATTTGCCCAGAGAGGGACAGAGCGAGAGAGAGAGAAAGAGAGAGAGGGAAAGTGAGAATGCAAGCCACCAGGTCCGGGACTTGAACCATGGTCAGCCTGTGGGAGTCCAGCACCCTTAATCACCACACCACCTGCTGGCCCTGGTATTTTTTACAAGATATTTTTGCTATAGGGGATGTGCACTTACTTGAGAGACAGAGAGAAACAGAGACAGAAAGCAAGAAGTCACTCGTCCAGGGGGGATAGAAATTCTGCAATCCCTTCTCTTCCATTTTCTTCTTGGGATTTTGAGCATGCACGCATATGCACCCAACATGAATTTCAACCCACAGGGTCCAGGACTCAAACTGCAGTCAACTACTTGGGAGTGCAGTGACATAAACATAGTGCCATAGCGGGTCTCCCACGCCAGGTCTTAGCTGGCCTGCATCACATCACATACATCTACGCATGTCCATCATCGTTAAGGAGATCCCAGGAGGTGAATC